TTTTGTGTTCATATAATCTTTTATTTTGATTCTTTGAGGTTTCTCCTATGTATTTTTTGTGACAATTATTACAAGTGATGGAGTAAACTCCTCTTTCAGGTTTTAGCTTATTGTTTTGTTTAGTATTGACTTAGTTTTTTATTGTTTTGTTATAGTAACAAATTTTATGTTGAGTTTAGATAGATTCTTTTTGATTGTAGATATGATAGAGTTAGTTGGTAGGATAATATATTTTTGTGATTCATTGGGTTTCCCAGGAGGAGGCATTTTTTTTTTTTGGAATATTTTGTGGGTCTTTTGTTTTGCATTGATAATAATAGGGTACTAGAGAAGACTGAAAGTGTTTTCAATGTATTTCTCCTCTTCGTGTAAATAATCCAAGCTGCATATTCTTAGTGCTCTTAGGTAAAATCTGATGATTATACCTGATTTTATTTTGTTGTTATGATGAGAATAGAAATTTATTAGATCATTTTTGTTGGTTGATTTCTGGTGGACACCAAGTTTTAAACTGTTATTAACGCAGTATACCTTGACATCTAAGAAGGGTAAGGGTACGTGTCATACAATTTCCCCAATACTCTTCTTGATATATAAAAAATATATATCATTATCATACATGCACACACAAACACATATTTTATATATATATATATATATATATATATATATATATATTAGTAGTATTATTATTTAATGCTATGTTTTAGAATACACTGTAATAGTCCTGCATATTCCTTGAGGAGTATAGGACCATAGCTTTCAAGTCCTGTAAACACTCTGAGAAGTATAGGGCCACAGATCTCTGCACACTAGGCATTGCTGTTGCAGTTTCCATAGCAACTAGCAGGCTTTACAGAATGAAGATGCTAGCACCATGTCCAATGTTTTGAATTCACAGCTGTCATTTTCCTAAACTAGTTACCAAACATGGCTAGTTTGACCTATTATTTAACCCATGCTTGGGAGAGAAGAGATGGAATCATACCTTTCTCAAATGGTATTTACACATAAGTGAATGTAATTTGAACTTGGTTTTCCGATTTCTCATTCCAAGCCACTATCAATTACACCAGGGTTTTTCAAACTGTGGGTCCCAACACTTCAGTGGGTCACAAGATGAATAAAATGGGTCACAACAAAAGGGGAAAAAATATATGCAAGTGAGAGCAAAGTGCAGAATATAAACCACTCTAAATGTTGCACAGCACTCATAAATCATCACTAGTTTTTTTTCAACAAGGTAAGCTTATATTATATATTTTATTTTCTTATATATATATATATATATATATATATATATATATATATATATATATATATATATATATGTCTGTTCTCATTGAATTAATGTACCTTGTTTGTCAAGCTAGTTGCAGACCGAGTGATGTCTGTTCTCTCTCACAAAGAGACCTCGCACCAAAACTTAGCTACAAAGGTGTTGCCTTTTACAACTAATTATTTGTGTGATCTAGGATTTTCCACATTAACTCAATTAAGATGCAGGACAGAAACAGACTCAACACTTGATATGCGTGTAGCATTGTCTTCCTGTGTTCCCAAATGGGATCAGCTGCTTATGAAAAACGAACACATCAATCTCATTAAATAACGTTTTTTTTTTCAAATATTATTTACTTTACCTTTCTGTCGGAATTTCCTTTAAATTTGTTTTTCTAAAAGTAATAATTTTATATTCATACAAATATATACATGCAATTCCAATATGTACATATCATGAGAAATATACATATAAATTGTTGATTCGAGTGAACAAAGTTTGTCTTTGATTTATTACATGTAGATATAATGGGTCGCAAAGCAAAATGTGGTTCATTTTGTGAGTTGCAGTAAAAAAAGTTTGAAAAATCCTACATTAGATCACCTACAGATCCTTATGTTTAAGAATATTTGTAAATAAATTATGAATTATAAAAGGTATTATTGATTTTAAAGAATTGTTATATTAGGTATATTAGACTTCTTAAAATCTATAAAATAATTTAAAATACTGAAGTAGCTATTTATTAACGTTTTATTTTCACAGAATTTTATTCATTTATTTAGAAACTTGTCTTGATTTTTAGACTAATTTTAGCAATTTCCTTCTAAGCATAGTCTGCTTTACAAGATGTTACTGTTTTTATAATTTCCTATTTAATGTTGGTGGAGAATTTTTTTTTTTGTTTTGTAGCCAGATGGACTTAGAAAGAGTCATTATGCTAATAATTTAGCATATCTTATCTAGTTTGCAACTATATGAGCAACTTTTTGAAAAGATCCAAATATTTTTTGTTTAATTTATCAAATGTCCTAAAATCTAAAATCAATTTAAGTCATATTCGAATTTCCTTTTAATATTTAAGTATTAACTTACCCAACAGGCCCAGCAGCCAGCACTAATCGTTCAATGTCAAGCCCACTCATTAAAACATAGACACCTTTGTTAAGTTCTCCCAGCATATTTTCAGCTGAAATGAAAAACACTTATTAAAACTTTTTTGTCAATTTTGAAATTCAGGAAAAATAAAAAAAATTTAAGTACAAATTTAGTTTGACTTGTTTTATTTTATGGCATATCAATCTCAATGGATTACTTAATGCCAACAAGATTTTTATTGCTGGTAATATTTTTTTCAAAAATGTATTGTGGGAAATAATTTTTCTTTTTTTTTCTGTCCTTAAAATGTATAGCTGGTACTATTTATTTTCCATAATGTATTGCTGGTAATAACTTTTTCTTCCAAAATGTATTGCTGGTAATAATTTTTCTTCAAAAATTTATTGCTGGTAATAATTTTTTACAAAAATGTGTTGCTGGTATTAAAACCTATTTTTACACTTTCATAGGGTCTTGACCCCAGTTTTGGGGTTAACTATTTCCCCATAGCTGGGATCCTGACAAGGTGCTACCACCCTGGGTCAGGGTGGACCTGGGAACACCAGCAATTAAGATAGGGTTCCACATTCCTCAAAACCTCCAGATCAGAGGCGTTGCTGTTGGATGCAGTTTATTGTCTTACCTAGAATGCATATGTAGTTTATCATCTTACCCAGGATACATGTACAAATTTATACCATGTACAAATTTATAATAATATAATTATTATATTTCCATCCTGTAGTATTATACAAGAATAGGCTTTGCACTCAATTTCACATTAGGCCAATGAAGCCAAGTGCAGGGATAGCCAAAGATAACTACCAGCCAGTATTGAAAATTTGTGATTCAACAAGTGTTACTGGTAATTCCATTGACATCCCTTTTCTGTGGATCTTTCAACAAATCATAGGTACAGAAAGTGTTGATGAAGCAACACCATACAAATAGTTGGAGTTCTCACTGGCTGTATATATATATATATATATATATATATATATATGTGTGTGTGTGTGTTTTTTTAATCATTTCACCCCAAGCAAGGTGATAATGTCATTAGGAAACAGAGAGTGGAAGAGAATGAGAGGAAAGGACAATAAAGGAACAAGGTTCAGAAAGATAGAAGTTGGCAGTTGACATTGCATTTAAATTTTTGAGGATTGTAATTGGCAGGGAAGCAAGAAATCAGAAGGGAGTTCCAGTGTTTATTCATGACTTTATTCAACCAATATTTCTTCTTTATGTGCCATGTCCCTTCAGAATGTAGGCGATCGTGGCTCTCCACAATTTCCTGTCCTTTGTAGCTCTTAACAAATTTTGTCATTTGTTATTTCTCCTAAACCTTGCTTTGCCATCCACTCACTCAAGCTATGTTATGTGTTGTTTTCTCCTGTCCCTCTTGTCTTCAGTCTGACCTGTGAGTATCAAATTTTCCAAGCCCTCTTTCCTCATTATGTGCCCTAGAAATTTCAACCGTCTCTTCCCGTCCAATATAGCCCTTAATAAATTTGATCTTTTTATTATCTCTCCTAAACCTTGTTCCACCATCCATTTACTCAAGCTCGCTAAGTGGGTTATGCGTTGTTTTCCTCTGTCCCTCCTGTCTTCAATCTGTCCTGTGAGTATCAAATTTTCCAAGCCCTCTTTCCTCATTATGTGCCCTAGAAATTTCAACCGTCTCTTCCCGTCCAATATAGCCCTTAATAAATTTGATCTTTTTGTTATCTCTCCTAAACCTTGTTCCGACATCCATTTACTCAAGCTCGCTAGGTGGGTTATGCGTTGTTTTCCTCTGTCCCTCCTGTCTTCAATCTGTCCTGTGAGTATCAAATTTTCCAATTCTTCTTTCCTCATTATGTGTTCTAGAAATTTCAACCATCTGTTCCTGATGTTAAGTGTAATTTTCATTTTGGTTTCTATTATCTCTAAAACTTTGTATAGTATCCTCAGCATCCTTCTGTAGAAGCACATTTCTGTTGTTTCAGTTCAGTATTCTTTTATCTAATTAAAGCTTTTAACTCTCTGTTGAAAAAGTATTTTCATGCTTTCCTTCTCTCCATTTTTCTCACATTCCTTCACACTCTTCTGATCATCCTTCTTACCCTCCATCCTTTTCACTGTCTCACCATCCTTCTCACTCTACTTCTCCTTACTCTCCTTCTCACTCTCCCTTGCTCCATCCTTCTCACTTTCCTTCTCACCATCTTTATTTATCACTCTCCTTCTGACCATCCTTCTCACTCTCTGTTTAACCATCCATCTCCTTCTCCCCATCCTCCTTACTCTCCTTCTCCCTTGCTCCATACTTCTCACTCTCCTTCTGACCATCCTTTTCACTGCCTAACCATCCTTCTTACTCTCCTTCTCACTCTCCCTTGATCCATACCTCTCACTATCCTTCTCTCTGTATCTTGTTCCCTGTTTAGTATTGGGTTTCTAGTTCCTTCTAAAATCTTTTTCTTCCTTCTCTTTCACTTCCAGTAGCCCCTTGTGACTTCATGACATTATTGCCTTGCATGGGGTGAATCAATTAAAAAAAATAAAAAATCTGTTTCAATCTCGTACTCATGAATTTGCTCGTGGTTCGCAGCTAATTTTCTGCAATCAATGTGGTTCTTCACATTTTTTTTAACTTTATAAAGAAAAAGATTAATTTTCAATATACAAATTTTCATAAATAAAATTTCTTTTTCAGACAGAAGAAAAAAGTTAAATCTTTTTACAAAAAGATAAAAAAAATATTCTTTTCTTGATAATCCTTTATTTTGAAAATTTATGAAAAGAATTAAATTCCACACAATAATAAATTCTTCAATAATTACCTGGAACTTTGCAATTTTCAAAGATTAATTCACATGTATTTGATCCACGCATTCCAAGTTTGTCAAGTTTGGGTCCAGTGTTGAAACCCTCCATACCCTGCAAGAAAACTATTTTAATTCATCTGTTTGTGGAGAATAAAAACGTTTATATCAGGGTTTCCCAACCTGATAAAATATCGCCCACCGGTGGGGGATTTCAAATGTTGGGTGGGAAATGAGCAACTGAAAATAAAATGGTTGGGGACTGGAAATTTTGCTGGCCGATATAAAATTTTTAGTTTAAAAAAAGGTACTTCAATGTGAAAAAAAATATTCAAAAGAGATATACAAAAAACCTGTATTAAAAAAAACAGAGCCAAGAGACTAAATAGGAACAACTGGGTTACATTCCAAGATAAGACATAAATATCTCTGCAAACAATATCTTGGTATTTTCTATAGTTTTGAGAAGGGTCATTAACATTCAAATAGTTCTTGAGATGAAATAACATTTTTTGGGGGATTGAAATCAGATAAGGGAAGACCAAGAACAACATTGTCAGTAAAATTAAGAAGTGACCGCAGGATAATTTTTATTTAATACTAGCAGCCATACCCAGATTGGTTGATCAGAAAAAGCATTCAATTAGAATGGAGCAAAAACAGCATCATGTTTAGATGTAAGAGTCTATCTTCTTCAATTACTTTAAAGTAATGCAGTTACTGATATAACAAAAGTAGTCTGTATTTATTCAATCGAAGTTAGACGAGGACATGAAGGGACAAAACAGGCAACACGAAGACGCACTTCAGACCACAATTATTTTGGAGTTTTTAAAATTCAATTTGTCAATGTGCTATCAAGAATTTAAAAGAGGATACATTTATAAAGCAATTATTAAGTTTGATGAAAATTGGTTGAAAAATCAATAAAAATAATAAAGAAACCAGTAAAAATCGCCATTTTTCACTATTTATGTGGGTTTTCACTATGTTGTTGGACTCAATTATTAAGTCAAATGACTGTTAAACAATCAACTTATTGTTGGCTACAATTGAGTGAAGATTGTATTAGATTGCTTGAAAATTTAGGGAGTTTTTAGCTTAAAATTTGTGTTGAAATCAATTTTTGTTTTTCAAGGTTATTCACTAAACACGGTGGCGTAGAATTAAAAATGAGGTATTGTTGAGCTTGTCATGATGTAAGTAACCTACATATAGAATTTGAAAGAAACCAAAGGAAAATAGTTGAATTTATCGATTTTAGATTGGCTTTATCAATTATTGATTTATTAAAATTATCAATTTTTTACACTAAGAACCTATCTCTTACATTGCACAATGTATGTACCAAGTTTGGTCAAAATCAGGTGGATTGATCTCGTGAAAAGGTATCACACAGACAAACAGACATCCTCTCTTATATATATATATATATATATATATATATATATATATATATATATATATATATAGATAGATAGATAAGATTGTTTTACTTTTTTTAATCACATTGGTCATCTCAAAATCATCAAGGTAGGAAAAGTGCCTGTCAAAACATAATTCATCCATCACTGTATATTTTTGAATATTTACTATACATGTGCATGTTGGAAAATTTTTTCCATGTGAAAGTGGACAAAGACACAGAAAAGGTTGGTAACCCCGAGTTTATAGTGTTGTGGAACAGAAAGATTTATCATTTTATGACTCCTGAAATTATTTTCCCCCACAAACAATATTTTGCAGACTCATGTGATTCCAGGTAAAAAAAACAGACCAAATGTGGAATTTAAACAAAAAATAATTAATAACTGTATTAATGAGACATGTTTACAGAAAAAAGACTAACGAACAGAACTTCATCATTGAGTTCAACACCATATGCAGTTGAAGTCTCAAAAGTACATTGAACATCTGTCATAAAAATAACAAAAAAAGATTTCTAAACCTATTACAAATACCGCCCCCCAGCCATAAAAGGAAATTAAATAAAACTGTATAATATATTCTGACTGTTAATATGAAAAAATAAAACATAAAAAGACATAAAAATAAAAAGACATTGGTCAAACCACTATAACTCTTTCATGTTGATTAATATTAGGTACCTCCAAGAATTCACTGATAAAAGAGCATAGCATCATGAAAAAAACCCCAAATTTTATAAAACAAAGTTTTATCATCAAAATGTTTGTGTTATTATTAAGAGGAAAGAACAAAGTATTTTTTGACTATTTTATTAACATTTTTGATCCTTTCTAGCATGTTCAAAATTTTGGTTAAAAATCTTGTTTTTCTTGCATCAGTGGGAGCAGCAAAAATTAGTATTAGGAAATTTAGCGCTTTCTTTCCACTAAAAACACACTGATTTGGAAATTTTTGCAAAAATTAAATAATTTTCAGATTTTAATGAAACCTTCAGGACTCATTCACAAATGAATAAAATTATTTTAGAAATTTTCTTAAGAAAATCTTTGTACAAATATTTGATTTGATTTTTACTCTTTTTTTATATCTGTTACCTCACCACATTAATCCAATTACATTTTTAAAGCCTAAAGCCTCCATAGAACAACATTACGTAAATGTCAATCAGTCATCAAGCCGTCAAACCCATGAATGCCTTAAATAAACAGCTACTGTCGGGTTAAAAAATGTATTTCTGTGATATTTTAAACATAAAGTAAATATTTGTTTCAAATCATATTAATTATAAATTAAATCAGCTAATATTCCTTAAATAAAGTTTCAGAAAGTATTTATATTTTATTTTTGGAAGATTTTTTAATAAAGAGAATTACATTGCAATGAAAGACGACTAAGAAAGTGCAATAATCAGCTATTTTAGCAAAATAAAAAACAAAAATTCTTTCAAGTCAATTTAAATTAGTTTTTGAAATACTGAAAAGTATTTTGCTTATTGGAGATATTAAATTTAACTTATTAACTTGAAATTAAAACTAAAATAAAAGCTTCAAGAAAAATTTTTAATATTTAAAAATGCATTTTATATGCTATATAATAGAATATTGCCATAAAAGTTCATAGTAATAGTCCTCTTTTTTTCTTTTTTTTTTATTAATATGATGATTGAGGTAGGGGGTTACATTATGAGGCAGTTTATACAGATAGGAGGGGAAGATAATGGTTAACCCTAGACTTGAACAGATTAAGATTTTAGTGATCAAGGAAACATCTTCTTGGGAGCCGGATCCACAGAGCAGTAGTTTCCTGGGAAGAAGCTGTTCAAGTGGAACTTATTTCTCACTAATGGAATGTGGCTTGGTTTGCTACAATGTAAGTAGAATAGCAGATCCTAGCCATGGAAGTTAGAACTGGTGGAACCAAGGAATGTAGTTTGTCCAAGCACTTTCCACGAAAGTAGTAATAGAGCAATGAGAGGCTTGTCACATCCCACCTGTGAGAGAGAGAGAGAGAGAAATTGGTGGGGAGAAAATAATTTGTCACTCACAAGGACTCCTAGATGCTTTTGGGCCAATTTATGAAATAATATCTGCAAAAATTCCATGTTTCTGCTGTTAGCCACTGAAAGTTTCCTGTGATGTACTTAGCAATTTTTCTTGCTAGAATCTATCTTACAAGGTACGTGTTGTTGCTCCAAAGTCAAAGAGAAAAGAGAATGAGCCTTTCAAGAATCATGCTGCCTGTAATTGGATTACCAAAATATCATGCTGCCTGTAATTATTGGATTGTCACCCCTGTAGTAATCAACACTATATCTTTTTTTTATCTGTCTATATCCCTGAGATGAGGTATTATGATTACTTGCATTACTTACATTATTCAAACTGTTATCATCATCTTTATTGCCATATACATAACATTTTAGGCCATTGTACACTCCAGCCTTCTTCAGGTGATTGGAATTTTGAACCAAACTCTTTATTTTGTCCACCAGGGGAGATTGTTCTAGTTCCACGTGCCATGCCTCTTCTGAATGTCTCAGTTATTTCGCTTTAACTCAACTCTCTCTAAGTTTTGGTTCACCACTGCTGTGGCCTGGCATTGAACTTACAACTCTTTGGGTCTAGTCACTGGATCTAATCAACGCTATTATCCACTGGGCCAATCTACCCCAGTGGACAAAATAAAGGGTTTGGCTCAAAATTCCAATCATCTGAAGAAGGCCAGAGCATACAACGACCTAAATGTTGTGAATATGACAAAGATGAGGATAACAGTCCAAATAATGTAAATATATCAAGTATTTTTTTTTTTACAGTAATGTTCACTGTTTACAAGGTTGGTGGGCGGGGGGGTCAATCAGGCTGAAGGATTATGTTAGGAGGTAGTTTGTACAAATAGGAGGGGAAGATAACAGTTAACCATAGACAGGTTAAGATTTTAGTAAATATGGAGGGAATGTTGGTGATTTGCTACAATGTAAGTGGCATGGTCAGTTCTTACCATGATGGTAATCCAACAATTATATTTGGCTAAAAATAAGAATTGCTAACAAGATTTGAAATGAAAAGTTTGTATATTCTATTTCTTGGAACAGAAAGGAAAGGGTATTTTTTACAATTTAAATAGTCAAATTTTGTTTGAGGAAAAAACGATTTTTTAATTAGTGAAGAAAGATTAGATCATATAACAATGAAGTCTCCAAGATTACAAGAAAAATCATCAAAAAATCAATACAATTCCAACAGACTTGCCTTTTCAATTAAAAATGCACTTATTCCATGTTTGGCTTCAGGATTATCATAATCTGTTTTGGCATAAACCACCAATACATCTGCATCCGGTCCATTGGTAATCCAGAATTTATTTCCTGTCAGTTCGTAATGGTCACCTGAGGGAAGATACAGATTTCAATTATTATTCATAGGATGATGAAGATAAATTGATTGATATAGATTTTTTTTTCATTTTTACAATGATGTTTACCCTGTAGAAGGCCTGAAGGCCACTCAAGATAGTGGGTTAGAGATTAAGAGGCACAACTTATGTGGATATGTGTAGAAGATAACGGTTAACCCTAGCTCTGAACAGAATGTAGTGATTGGGGAAGCATCCTTTTGGGAGTCAGTTTCATAAGGCAGTGGTTCATGGGAAGAAGCTGCTTGAGTGAAATATAAAAGAAAGGAAGGTATTTCACTACAATGGGTGTGGCACGCCAGATCTTAGCCATGAGAGTTAGAACTGGTGGTACCAAAGAATGTTGTTCATCTGAATACTTTGAATGGAAATAGCAATAGAGCAGTGAAAAGCTTTCAACATTTCATCTTTGAGAGAGGGGTTGCAGGGTAGAACATAATTTGTCACCCACAAGAGCATGAAGACACTTTTGGAATCTATTGAGAGTGGAAAGTGAAGACTTTGTATCTCCTACCAATAAATGGTAACAGTACTCCTTTCAGCATGATCTGGTTATTGTAAAAGAAGAGGATAACAGGAGGAGTTAGGTACTTGTTGGAGTAATAAAGGGTACCAATCATTTATCCAGCCTCTTTAGAAATGGATATGTATAAGTTCCACTTTAGGTTTAAGCACAGAGCCTTCTCAAGAGAATGTAAACAACTAGCATCCATACCCAGCTGGTTGATCAGAAAAAACATTCAATTAGAATGGAGCAAAAACAGCATCATGTTTAGATGTAACAGAGTCTATTTTCTTCAATTACTCTAAAGTACTTTCATTAAAAAACATTTTGAATTAATGCAGTTACTGATATAACAAAAGTAGTTTGTATTTATTCAATCGAAATTAACTGAGGACATGAAGGGGTAAAACAGACAACATGAAGACCCACTTCAGACAACAATTATTTTGGAGTTTTTAAAATTCAATTTGTCAGTGTCCTACCAGGGATGTAAAAGAGGATACATTTATAAAGCAATTGTTAAGTTTGATGAAAACTGGTTAAAAGATCAATGAAAAATAAGAAAGAAACCAGTAAAAATTGCCATTTTTTGCTATTTACATGGGTTTTCACTATATGGATGGACTCAGTTATTAAGTTAAATGACTGTTAAACAATCAACTTATTGGTGGCTACAACTGAATGAAGTTTGTATTAGATTGCTTGAAAATTGAGGGACATTTTAGTTTAAAATTTGTGTTAAAATCGATTTTTTATGGTTTTCCAATAAACACAGTGGCATAGAAATAAAAATGAAGTATCATTGAGCTCATCATGATGTAAGTAAACTAAATACAGCGTCTGAATGAAATCAGAGAAAAAAAGTTGAATTTATCAATTTTTTATCAGCTTTATCAATTATTGATTTTTTTATCCTAAGAACCTATCTCTTACATTGTACAATGTATAGGCCAAGTTTGATCAAAATTGGTTGGATGGAGCTTGAATGAAAAGGTATCACATAGATAGACAGACACACAGACATCCTCTGTTTTATATAAACAATAATACCATATATGAAAGTAAGACACTGACTATACTTGATCACAATTAAAGACACTTATATGCTTACTAATATAAATAATGAAATCACAATTTGATTAGTGACAAATAAAGATTTGTTCAGCCAATCATCAGCTTTCTGCATTATAAATGAATCTTTTGTAATTTTGGTTTGAATTTCATTCAACAAGTGTAAAATTTCAATTTTCTTAGAATATTTATTAATTGTATAAATTCTTATATGAGGCAAATCAATGACCAAAAAGCTTTAGAGTACCTCTTGCAACAAAGAGGGCGGCTACTGAAAGACACTGTGTCTGGTAACAGGACCCTACACCATGTCACAAAGCAGGAGAATCCAGTCATGGCTGTCAGACAATTTCTGCGACCACATCACCCCTTACATCTGGCCACTTAACTCCCCAGAATGCAACCCCCTTGATTATTATGTATGGGGTACAGTTGAGCTCAACAAACAAAACTTCTTGTAACAGCAAAGATGAACTGAAGGCAAGGATTATGGCAGCATTCACCAACTTAAACAAGGAGACCATCCAGAAGAGTTGCAGGAGATTCTGAAGTTGTCTGAAGGCACAGTTGAAGTTAATGTCGATTTTATTGAATAAATTTAGTCTTTAGTATTTCAAGATATTTTTGTATAATTCTGGTAAATATATCTGTTAAAATGAGATTTTGGTATTATTTTCCTCTTTGTGTAATTTAGATGACAATTTATCCATCGCACCTGTGTGTGTGTGTATATATTTATATATATATGATGTAAATATTCTCAGATAGAATGTATCTGTAGAAGAAACAAAACGTATGAAAAAGACAAGGAAAACTATACTTAATGCATTTTGTCATTTAACAGACTTTATCAAGGTAAATGTAATGATTTAATTTTGCAACATGTATTTATAAACAAGAGCAAAATGTTGTTACTTGAAATTTTTTATATATAATACATATATAGTTCTATAACTAAAACCATAAAAACAAAAAAATTGCCAATTCCTACAATTAGACATAAAAGAATTTTACCCATCCATAACAGAACGTATGCTAGATAAGGCCATCAACTTAGCTCAGGAACAAATAATAATAAAACCAAGCAAAATCAACATCATTAAGCACTCCCGTAAATCATTAATATTCCACAATGAAGAAGCATGGATAAAGAAAGATGGGATATTTGACACTACAATAGGAAGCTTTGACGGTGCAGAGGCATGCGAAATCATAGGCATTTACTTACTACATGAACTGAGCAAAATAATAGATAAAAATGACACAGGACTCTACAGGGACGACGGTCTCATAATCTTCTGAAACTGTAACAAACAAAACACAGACAAAACTAGAAAGGCAATAATAAAGATTTTTAAAATAACGGATTCGACATAGATATAAAAACTAATCTAAACGAAGTAGATTTCCTAGATGTTACCTTCAACCTAAGAAGGCACATATAAACCATACAGAAAACCTAACGATAAACCACTCTACATACAAAAATCTTCCAACCATCCATCCTTCTATAATCAAACAGATACCAAAATCGATTAACCGCAGGCTCTCCGACAATTCCTCCAATGAATCCCTATTTAACAAAGCTAAGAAAGACTATGAAACGGCCCTAAAAAGATAGCGGATTCCCAGCAATGCCCACATACTCACCACAGAATACAAAAAAGACCAACAGGAGAAGAAATATCATATGGTTCAACCCACCGTACAGCAAGAACATAAAAACAAACGTAGGAAAAATATTCTTCAAACTCTTACACAAACACTTCCCAGAATCAAGCACCTTACACAAGATATTCAACAAAAACACAGTAAAAATCAGCTACAGCTGCACACGAGAGCATGGCACAAATAATAAAAAAAGCACAATAGGAAAATTATCAACAAACCACACGAACAAATTAAACCCACGTGCAACTGCAGAATAAAGAACGAATGTCCCTTAAACGGAAATTGTTTACAAAACAACGTAATATACCAAGCCATGATAAAATCACCAGATAATGAAGAAAAAAAGTATACATAGGAGTAACTGAAGGGACCCTGGAAGCAAAGAAATTATACACAAAAACATCGTTCACAAATAGTAAATATCACGAACAGTACTATGCTTTCTAAGTATATCTGGGAAATAAAAAACAAAACGCACATCACACAAAAAATATCTTGGAAGATAAGGAAAAAGTCATCAGCCTACAACAAGCAATCAAAAACTTGCAAACTTTGCTTGGAGGAAAAATAGCTATCATTACTTTCCCCCACCAAAATAAATTACTAAATAAAAGATCCGAGCTCATCTCAAAAAATGCAGGCATGAAAATAAATTTTACTACGTAACCTAAAAAATGAAAAACGGAAAAAATAAAATAAAAACAAACAAATACACTAATAAAAAAATAAAATAAATAAATACTATGTTGCTTAAAAACCGAAAAGAGAAAATATACAAATAAATTGACCTAAATTCATCCAAGTAAATAGACAAACCAATCCCAAATTAAAAACTGTTCCCGCCAAAAAAATAATAGTTAGAATAAACTACAACAACCAACCCCAAAATTGAACAAATAGCTTTAATTAAATTCTCAAACCAAAACGAAACTGTTAAATACGTGATATAAACAAATTTTTACTACGTTAATAAATAAATAAAGAAAAAATAAAAAAATAAAAACGAGCAATATAATTTGACCCAAATAAATAAACAAAGCGACTTCCGGTAAAAAATAGCCGCCATAATAGAATACCCACAATGCACCACTAACCCGTATATATATAAATAGCCGAGAAAAATAACAGCATATGTGGCCTGACAATTGCATATAGCATGAAACAGACTGTCGCCTCTAAGTGTTGACTTCTATGTTCACTTTTATATATATATATATATATATATATATATAAGCCTTCCAGTAGGATATGAAGCTGTGTACCCCTTTCCATGAGAAACTGTTATTACATCCTATATGCTTCAGACCAACTTGGCCATGAAGTGTTCACCAATTAAGCACAGCTGAATAAAAAAACAGCCCTATAAATAGAAATCCTTCCCAGATTCTTGTAACTCTGTATCTGCTCAGTTTCATATCCAAACATAAGCAAAGCAATTTTTAAAGCAGTAAGGGATTTTTTTTTTATGTCTTAATGCAAAGGATTTTATCACTTTAATCACTATTTTTAAAGGAAACCCATATTTGACTAGGTACTATATTTATTTTCATCTACCAGCAAGAAATCTTATTAAAGAAAAAGATATGAAAGGTGTATCTTTTTCTTTAATAATATTTCATATATATATATATATATATATATATATATGAAGAAATATAGCCTTAAGGTGTCCTATATTTATGGGATAAAGTGCTCAATATCAGAGATAGAGCGTGTGTAAATATAAA